TTGCTCACATTAATCCTGATCCAAACCCAAAGACTTCTTATGAGTTCCCATTTAGATATGCTTAGCGTTTATAGCAGGTTTGGCATGCTGTCCCGGGAGAGAACCCTGAGCTCTGAGATAATTGAGCCCAAGGCTCCCGCCCGGTCAATAAGCATATAAGGGCATCCGAGATCAGGTAGGTCTCGAGAGCTCCCCCTTGGAAAAGGAAGAAATGGGGTGGAAGGGGGGGTTCTTCCAAAACGAAGATAGAGCAGTAGGAAGAAAAGATCCATTTATTGTAAACTAGGATCCCTTTGATTGGATTATTACTGATTAGCCAGTCGTACTCAATCAGATCACATGCTCCTCTCAAAATTATTTTATGAAACTTCACTTAGTTAATAGAGAATGGAAAATGTTCATTTTTTTCCTATCTGAGCCCAATACTAAAATCCCCCATAAAATGTAGCTTATCATTTGTGCACAATATACTGTACGTGAGATTAGATATACAGGTGAAGTCAGAATTATTAGCCCCCCCATTTATTTTTTTCCCCAATTTATGTTTAACAGAGATTTTTACAACACGTTTCTAAACATAATAGTTTTAATAACTTGTTTCTAATAATGGATTTATTTTATCTTTGCCATGATGACAGTAAATAATATTTGACTAGATGTTTTTCAAGACACTTCTATACAGCTTAAAGTGACATTCAAAGGCTGAACTTGGTTAATTAGGGTAACTAGACAGGTTAGGGTAATTAGTCAAGTTATTGTAAAACGATGGTTTGTTCTGTAGACGATGGAAAAAATATATGACTTAAAGGGGCTAATAATTTTGACCCCAAAATGGTGTTTAAAATATTAAAAACTGCTTTCATTCTAGCCGAAATAAAACAAATAAGACTTTCTCCAGAAGAAAAAATATTATCAGACATAATGCTTAAATTGCCTTGCTCTGTTAAACATCATTTGGGAAATATTTAAAAAATTCTGACTTCAACTAATTTTTTTTTTTTTTACCAATAATTATTCTTCAATCTTGGTTCCCATCAAAATGCATCCAGAATTTTCTGTTTCAGCCCAATGTTTTAATATTCTTAAAAACTGCACTGTAAAAAAAAAAAAAAAACTGGTTGCCTTAATATTTAGGCTGAATCGAACCTTATTTGTCACTTAAACTCCTATTATCTTAAACTGACTTAAAATGGCTTGCATTACTTATAAAATTAATTTAGAAAATGATTAACTTGCAATAATTGTAATAAGTTACAATGAATTACAATTAATTTATTACACTTCTCTATGATATGAATATTGCATATACCATTATCACGATAAGGATAATTATTCTATATATTGTGCATCACTAGTATGTGTGTATTTAAGTGTAGCTGCATTGCTGTGTATGACCCAGACAACAAAAGTGTGTGTGTGTGTGTCTGTGTCTATCTATGTGTGTGTGTGTGTACTCACATGAGGATGCTTGTGAGTCTGGCAGTAAACTGAGAAATCACACACTACTGACAAATACAGACTCATGACACATTCAGATGACTTGTGCATTTTCAGGCTGGATGGGAAGTTGTGTAGGCTATAGATATTTATACATTCATAATATTGTTGGCAATGTACAATCAAGCTACATTTAGATTATTGTCAGATTGTTAAATGCAAATGTTTTTGTTTTAATGTTTCCAATATTGTATATACACTACCTGAAAAAAGTCTTGTCGTCGATCCTAGTTGTAAGAGCAACAAATAATAACTTGACTTCTTATTGATCATTTGGAAAAGTGGCAGAACGGTGAATCTGTTGAGCTGCATCCCAATCATCACAAATACTGCAGAAGACCTACTGGAATCCACATGGACCCAAAATTCTCAGAGAAATCAGTCAAGTTTGGTGAAGGAGAAATCATGGTTTGGGGTTACATTCAGTATGGGGGTGTGCGAGAGATCTGCAGAGTGGATGATCAACATCAACAGCCTGAGGTATCAAGACATTTGTGCTGCCCATTACATTACAAACCACAGGAGAGGGTGAATTCTCCAGCAGGATAGCGCTCCTTCTCATACTTCAGCCTCCACATGAAAGCTTCTGAAAGCAAAGAAGGTGAAGCCGCTCCAGGATTGGCCAGCCCAGTCACCAGTTATAAACATTGTTGAGCATGTCTGGGCTAAGATGGGAGAGTCGTTAAAGATGAATCCAAGAAATCTTGATGAACTCTGGGAGTCCTGCAGGAAAGCTTTCTTTGTCATTCCAGATGACTTTATTAATCAGTGTTTTGAGTCAGTGCAGAGATGTATGGATGCAGTCCTCCAAGCTCATGATGGAGTCAGACACAATATTCATCCTGTCTCCACTGCAGCATGACTTTATATTCTATACTGGACATTATTTCTGTTCAGTGACAAGACTTTTGTCTAAGAAAAGTCAGACCTTACTGTCCTAATGAAATAATTCAAAATCAAGGCTCATCAAATTATATTATGATATCAGGTGATCATATTTTATTTAGGCCAAATAAGCGTAATCTAGAGGCCTTTGCCTTTCGTATAAGCCACTTCTGATATCAAATGATCAACTAGAAGTCAAGGTATTATTTGTTGTTCCTAAAACTTAGAGATACAACAGTACAGTTAGCTTAAGGTTCAATACATACCTCGGTTTTTTAACAAGGTTTTTGGTTCGGTTCTAATGGCTCGACACAAGTGTTTTTTTGTTTTGTTTTGTTTTTTATTCTATGCTTAGGCAATAGGAACAGTAAGAGGTTAAAGGGAAAAAATAAAAATGATTTATTGCAATACTCCATTATTTTACTTCAAAGCCAAGATAAGTACACTAGTTCCTACTGTATTGTATAATAAAAATAAATAATATTATAAGTAATAAGTTGTGAAGTTAATAAACATTGACCATATCAAAAAAACTTATTTGTACTTTGGCGACGCAGTGGCGCAGAAGGTAGTGCTTTCGCCTCACAGCAAGAAGGTGGCTGGTTCGAGCCTCGGCTGTGTCAGATGGCGTTCCTGTGTGGAGTTTGCATGTTCTCCCTGCGTTCGCGTGGGTTTCCTCCGGGTGTTCCGTTTTCCCCCACAGTCCAAACACATGTGGTACAGGTGAAATGGGTAGACTAAATTGTCCTAAATAAACTACTAAATAGAGTACAAGTGTGTGTGGATGTAGGGCGAGGCAGTGGCGCAGTAGGTAGTGCTGACGCCTCACAGCAAGAAGGTCGCTGGTTCGAACCTCGGCTAAGTTGGTGTTTCTGTGTGGAGTTTGCATGTTCTCCCTGCGTTCGCGTGGGTTTCCTCCGGGTGCTCCGGTTTCCCCCACAGTCCAAAGACATGTGGGACAGGTGAATTGGGTAGGCTAAATTGTCCGTAGTGTATGAGTGTGTGTGTGAATGTGTGTGTGGATGTTTGCCAGAGATGGGTTGCGGCTGGAAGGGCATCCGCTGCGTAAAAACTTGCTGGATAAGTTGGCGATTCATTCCGCTGTGGCGACGCCGGATTAATAAAGGGACTAAGCCGACAAGAAAATGAATGAATGAATGGATGAATAAACATATTTGTACTTCAGTAAACATAAATAAACAATCTTAATTTAACTTTACACTGCCTTAGTTATTTTATGTGTCTTTCGGAACCAGTTGGGTATGTTTGCTGGAAGAATTCAGCGAGGGACTGTTGTTTTTTTGGAGGACTTTATTTCCTTGTCTGCTATCCTGCCTTCAGACAGTGATATTGCTGGATGATGGTGCCACAGATGTGGCCGTTGGTGTTTCCGTTTGGGTAAGCTTCTAAAGCAATGCTTGCACTGTCATTTTTTTATTTTTCCTCGACATCATACTCAAAATCAAATGCAACATGTGCCACACTGCGGATATGAAAGATGCCGGCGCTTCCTCCAACTGTTGCCTCACTTCAATGCCACTCGCCATGTTAAAGTGTGGAATGATGGTCAAGCGCCCCCTAACTTTAGAGCATAGTGATTGGATATTTACACGCAGGGAGGAGTTTCCTCATCTCAGCTCATAGACTTACAGGCACAAACAGTCAATTCGGAGAGTATAAAATGCACATAAATCATTTAAACACAATTCACAAGTGAGTATTGAACCGTGGATGTCATGCCGAATGGTTCAATATTATACAGAGAATTTGGGCTTCCCTAATGTCACTTATTTTGCTTATTAGTTTTATAAAATGTCTGTTTATGTTTTATTTCTGTATACTTAGTCAAAATCAGTTTAATATAAGTTGAATCTCTTACAAATGCTTTTGAAAACATTTAACCTTGGTGAAATAGTCTATTTGTGATTCCACGTGGTTTAAAATCTCCACAGAAAAGGCTATTTTGCAGTAGCCATATAAAAGATTAAACCGTTTTTTTTTTTTATATTGCGCTGCAATCTTCCTTCCTGCTGACCTAAAATAAAATGACTTCTAATAACTTGATGAGCTTTATTTGGCTTTAGTTCCTAATTCCTGATTGAGCGTGCTGCGCTCTGATTGGTCGCCGGGAGCGTTCAGACCTCTGATTGGCCAGAATAAGTACAGAATTATTTTGAGTAATTTCTGGCTGCTTGTTATTTTTTTTTCTTCTTCTTTTTTTATCCCAAAACTGTAATTTGGGGTTTTAGAGAAATGAGCGCAGCAGATTACTAGAATGAAAAACATGCTCTTACTATCCTGAGCTTCAGTAATTAGATGGTGCTGTGTGTGTGTGTGTTTGAGAGAAGCAGCTCTGTGTGTGTGTGGACATGCAGGAGTGGATAGATGTAAGATTGAGCACTTCCAGTAATATTTCTGAGCTGTGTTATCTGATTTGTCTTTTTTTTTCTCTTCAGAACTTCATAACGGAGGTTTAAAATGTATTGAGCGCTCATTTGCTTTGCGTGTGCGCAGTTTTCCATGCCGTAGGCTTTTATCGATCCTTCCTCACGTGTCAGTTGCAGTTTTTCATCTGTGGATTTAAATTTGAATCATCGTTCCGGAGTTCCATTTGGAATCTGGATGTTCTATCATTCCGACATCACACACACGGAACGTTCTCTGGAAGTTGTATTTGGGTTTATTTTTAGTTGTCACTCTTGCTTTGATGTCTGAGTCAGGCTGGGTCATGGGATTGACTGAGACTGACTAACTGTGAACCCAGAGCAATGCTTATTTCTGACTCCTCTATTGAGCTGGATGGAGCTTTGACTTTTTTGTGTGTGTTTTGATTGAAGAAAATGTTAAATGTAATCTCTAAAGATCCGAGACGGTCTCAAACTAGTTTTTAAATCGCTGAAGGAGAAGTTTAAAGGCTCCATGGGGAACAGCAGTCGGAGAACTCAGCCTCTTCTGGAGGACACGGACTACTTTAATCCTGGAGAAGCAGATACAGGTGAGAGCGGGTTGCTGGGCGGGTTTATGCGGAAGTGTTTGGACTTTGTGTTTTCGGGGTGTGATGTAACGAGTTATATATAACGTTATAAACGCGGGATGGACTTTGTGTTTGGTTGGTTTGTGTTCGCTTGTGGATCTTTTGAGCTTTCCTTTCATTCTGGACATAAAGTGTGCAAGTTGTGTTGTTTTTGTGCGTTGCTAATTAGTGGTGTATTTTGGTTTTAATGACTCTTGTGAAGCTGAATTGGGGTGTTATGTTAGCATTGTTGAGGCATTGCAATTGGTTTTCAATACACTCAAAATGATTTGTGATGTTTGCTCAAGCTGCTCATTTAAAATGAATCAACAAAATACTTAATTGTTTTGTGTTCAATCCACTTACATTTTTAAGAACAATTAAGTTAACTTGATCTATTTGTGTTGAGACAACATGAAGGAGTTGTGTGGATGCCAGCATTTCACAAAAAATCACAAAAGTGCGCCTGTTTTCTCAATTGTTTTAGAACTTAGATTTAGAAACTTGTTTTAGATTCAGTCGCCTATGCGAGAAATGACTTGGGATAATAAAATTCGGTCAAACTACTTGCTCTACAAACAAATGTTTGCATTACTATACAAACCAAGTAGAATAATATAATAAGAAAAAATCAGTTTGCAACATCAAACAGCAAAACGAGCAGTTTTTAACGTCAAAAAATGAATGGAAGTGAATGAGACTGGAAGTCTCGAGCCAAACAGGTTTAAATGGCTGCGCCCGCTCGTCGGCAAATAATAAGGTAAATAGATTTGGATGTTTAGGTATTTTTGGATGATGCTTCTTCATATATTGTTGCACAGAGTGATTCTGCTGTATTTTTGTTAGTGTTACATGTTAAAAGAAAAGTGCTAGCTGGTTCTCCAGCAAAAAGTGTATTTCTGGGAATACAGAAGCTCTGATGTGAAATTCCAGGGACATTCCTCGCTGTTCCAGCTGTGTGGCTTTTGTCTAAGTGCTCATTTCAAACAGTCAAACTCTGGGTGGATCCAACCCAAAGATCAGCGTCCAGAAACAGAGATGCAGCAGATCAATCAGATGCTCGTTCAAACTGATCCCATTCGCCTGTTGTAGAGCAGATTGTGTGAGTTTTTGAAAGATGTATTATCAGGGCTACACGATATATTGCAAAATCATCAGTGTCACGATAATAGTAGAGCTGCAAGATTATGGCTAAAATTAGAATCGCGTTTTTTTTTTTTTTTTTTTTTGCTTAAAATAAAGATCACGATTCTCTCACGATTCTGTAGATGTAAAATAAAGCTTATTATGAGATTATGGTAACATATGGTAAAACAACAATATTAATATTATGTGTAGGTCTACTGGTTTCTATCAATAATTATATTCTACTTATAATAATTCTGATGTTGAATTATGTTTAAGATATAGGCCTATATTGCAATCTGTTATTAGACTATTTTATTCACTGGTAAAATCAACATTATATATGCTAGAATAGTTAAACTGACACTGTAAACATTTATTTTCATGCACAGCTGTGTGTTCGCTATGAAAGAAAAAGCATATCAAATGCTGGTCGCAGTCATAACTCTAAAATGCGATGTGAATATTTAAATGATGTGCTCTCTTTCGGTTTCATTTTCACTGCTAAGTGCTGTTTATACTTCACGCGCGGCTCTCAAACGATCACTCTGTGCCACAAACTGAATGTTATTTACAACTTTATTATCTGTTACTCGCAGCATATGCATGTTCTGTTCACTAAAGTTGACGCGTGCGCACAGTCAGCAGCTCACGTCACGTGTGATTTCCCGGCCACTAATACATTATTATATGAAAAAAATACATTTTTAGGTAAATTATACCTTATAAATACAGTATGTGACTCTTTTAACATCATTTAGAGGTGTCCATACCGCTGAGCAACGTGTGTGAAACAATGAAAGACTCTTGCAGCTGCATTTGCTTCTCTCCTAAACTTGAAAATATGATTGGCAGAATTGTAGAAATCCTGGATCAAGATCGTCTAGGGCAGGGGTCACCAATCTCGGTCCTGGAGGGCCGGTGTCCCTGCAGGGTTTAGCTCCAACTTGCCTCAACACACCTGCCTGTATGTTTCAAGTATACCTTGTAAGACCTTGATTAGCTTGTTCAGGTGTGTTTGATTAGGGTTGGAGCTAAAATCTGCTGGACACCGGCCCTCCAGGAGCAAGTTTGGTGACCACTGGTCTAGGGGGTCGAATTGAGATTGCAATCTTTTTTCGATTAATTGTGCAGCTCTAGATAATAGTGTAGGTAATAGGCATGGGCTGGTATAAGATTCTGACGGTATGATAACCTTGGATAAAAATATCACAGTTTTACGATATTGTGATTACTTCTCTAAAATATTTTCTTTTGTCTGGACATAAAACATAAACTTTTTTACCTTTACTTTAAGCACTGGTTTTGACTTAAATCATAGACTACCTTCCGATGAATGAATTAAAAGCAAAATGCTCAATGACTGGCACAGACTATTGCAAAAAATACTACAAATAGAGCCTGGGCGGAGCCACGGTATGAAACGTTTGAAAACATCAATATCAATATCAAATGCTTGAACATCAAATCACCCTCTGACCTTCTCATTTCACCCTCTGTTAACTGCACTGCATCAAATTCTTGCTAAGAAACAGAAGGTCTTAAATTTTAAAACACAATAATTCACTGTCTATTGAAAAATAGTGCGACGTAGGAAATTGTAAAAAATAATTTAATACAAGCAACTACTTCAATATGTTTGACTTCAAAATTAACAATCTTTCAAAACAGTAACTTAGAAGTAAAACGTCAATCTACTTTCGACGCTTCGACAGTCTGCTTTGAGTAGCAAGCTGTCAATCAAAACAGTTAATCGTAACGACACACCCCATTTTTATAGCATCAAATTACTTGCTAAAATCAAACTGATCACTAAAATGACCACCTAACCTATACCAGCATGATAACTGCTGCCTTAAATGACCTAAACAATGTTTTGAAAAATTGTAATGGAGGTGCAATACATTTTTTTATTTGTACTCCAGTCCCATTCGTTTACACTGAGAAGGCAGAGGTGTATGACCTGCATCCAACCACCAGGTGGCGATCAAAAAGCAAAAAAACATCACTTTTTAAAACGAATGATTGCACACCTGAATCACCACATCGAAATCATTCCTAAATTATTGTAATATTAAATGCTTATTCTCAGTGGCGTAGCGCAAAATGCGGAGGCCCCCCTGCAGGGATCGCTGACGGGGCCCCCTGATGAAGAGGGGGGGGGAGATACGTCATACGCCAATTTGCATATCACTGACGTCATCACGTTTTACCGTTTCTGTTTGTTTTACAGCCTATGGTTAATAAAGGGGTATTTATAATTGCACTACACTTTATACAAGCATGTTTATTTAACTAAACTTATTGCTGTTTGAATACAGCATGTCATTATAGATGTGTAGTGAATGTGCAGTAATCTCTCATATGTAATCTCAGACAAATTCAGAAACTGTCACTAATATCTGTGATTGTGAACAAGAAAAGAATAAACGGTCCAATTGAATTGTTAAAATAAAGTAGAAGTAGATCGGTTTGACTGTACAAGGGAAATACCTTCACACTGCCTGTGCTAAATCATTTGTCGTCGGTACGCAGAGGGGTGATCTGCTCTCGGGCTGCAGGTGGGAGAGGCTGCTGTAGAGGACTGACTGGGCCGCCTGTCAGTGCTGTGAGGCGGGGGAGGGGCCGGCGGCATCACACGCAGCTCGTTGAGAAGAGTAGGGACGGTACAGTATGGACAAATGACAGTCTAAAAAAATCTCCAATAACACACAAAAAAGTCGCTAGATTTGTCGTTAGGGGGGTCTGAAAAGTCGCTAAATCTAGTGACAAAGTCGCTAAGTTGGCAACATTGGCGGCAAGCAATCAGAATGATGTAGTCCACCGCTTGAGAGGTGTTCAGAGAACACAGACCTGTGAACTTTGGTTCCGACCACAGTTGTTCCCAAGAGTTTGATTATTGCGGTTGCCGGTTGATTTTCAATTATTGAAAATCACGACGACGCGGTGCCCCCTAATCACGCGGGGCCCCCCCGCGGTGCGTGCCCTGCGGGCCCATCCGCTACGCCACTGCTTACTCTGAGAAATGTACTTTTTTTTTTTTCAACAACGAAATTCCACACATAAATCCTCATTTTTCACTCAGAAATGTTTTGTGCATCAGAAACATTGTATTGAACTTTTTCTGCTTTATCTAAGAAACATGCTTTTGAATATTTGGTCTTTGCTGTGCCAGCATCGATTCAAGGCCTGCGAGTCCAAAATAGGACATTGAGAACTGCTGATGGCAGACACTCAGATCATATAAAAGCGTCTGCATTCGGGATCCGTGTAATTCAAGCCAAACATCTGGCTTCATATTGTGCTATCAAAGCATTCTGATTTACAGGATATTAAAGATCATTTTACCCTCTGCCAATTTTAAGATATTTCATGCTGTCAAAAAAAAAATCAGTGTTGAGATGAAAAGTATATGGTGAAGAAGCAGTTTCCACTCCTAAATTGCTTGGAAATTACCCTCCCCATGAAATAAGCAAGCTCTGCTCTGATTGGTCAGCTGGAAAACTCTGTTTTGATTGGCCTTTCTGTATCTACTTTGTCTCTGAAATTAAACGTTAATTGCAGGATGTTCATATATGCCACAAACACATTGTTACTCAGTGTTGATGCAGATCAATACAACAGACTAGAGGTTCAACCTAAATCGATTAAGAGCTGACACTTTTGAGAGACAATATCTTTATCTACCATTCACTGTTTCTTATTAAATTTGCAGACTGGTTATGTTGAACCTATATACCTGTATATACCTAGTAAGAGCTTGATTAGCTTGTTCAGGTGTGTTTGATTAGGGTTGGAGGTAAAATCTGCAGGACACCGGCCCTCCAGGAACAAGTTTGGTGACCCCTGTACTATAT